GTATCGTCTGCAACTAACGCAGTGAATCACACCATTAAGCCTACTGAAACGGAAACAAACCTGAAAGCATTTCGACCATGTACTCGGATTTCGAACATTTCAGGCAGCAGTTGATGCTGCGAAGCCTAGAAAAAAAATGTTTGCCAGGATCATCTTTATGACAATTCAACTCACTTCCACATCTCTATCAAAGGTTCAAACTTGTACGTCGTTGGCGTGAAAATATCGATCGAAAACGTGACAGAACCGTACACGTTGTGAGCTTCCTCAGCGGAATCAGGAAATTTGTGTTGAAAGTTGACGTCTAGAAAAGGAACGTTCATTTGTCGCTTATCCTACTATGCACTGCCCTCCAACGTCTCCGGAGTAAATAATTTTATCGTACTCAAATGTTGTAATATTCATCAGGAAGAAATCGAAGTAACTATACTGAAAACAACCGTCTATCTGATCGGCCATTCTAGCATCGGCAAACAACCGCATGTACTGAATAATAGGAAGATGCCGACTGCAAATCACACCCACTAAGTTGATTTATCCGCCAGCGTGGAAAAAACTAGCTGTTCTCGCGAAAGTGATTTGTGGATAGTCATCGATTAAATTGTTCAGAAGAATTACTGCTACAAACGATGCTATCATTCAAATATTACATTATATCGTGTTGTTCTTTCGCATATCATTGCGTTTGATGAAGACGTTAGCGCATAGCGTCGAAAAGGATAAGAGCAAAAATTTATCACCATTGCAATGTTGGTATTCTTTTACTTTCACGATCGTGCTATTTTGACGCCTTTACTTTCATGACGTTGATGGTGCAATGCTGATCTCCGTTTCTATACCATCAACTAGGAATGCTTGATTTCAAAGGCAAAGTTTACATCCATGTGACAGGCGCAGTTTTTAATCTCCTGTTTCCTTCTCATAGAGTGGCATTAATTTACCAACCAAACAGGCTTCGAAACGCGTCAGAAAATAAAAGATTTTATATCTTCGTTTCCAACCGCTGTCTTGAACCATGTATGTGAAAGCGAAGATCATTAACCGCCTAATTAAATGGCTAACGAATCTGTACTTTCTTCTAAAACTGTTTCAACTACTATGAAGAAGTGTTAAAGTAAACAAACTGTTGCAGTAAGTCAATTTCTCGAATATTCCTGCACTAAAAGAGTAATTCAGCGGGGTGGAAAAAAATATGAGCTGAGTTTCCATCGTCGAACGCCTCAAATTTATGTCATGTTTAGGTTCGTTATTAGTGGATCAAGTAGGTTGTTCCAACAGAGCATAAAATTTCTAGCTACGTCGGTGTGACCTCAAAAGTAATAATTTCGCTGCCGTAACTAAATGCATTGCAACAGAAAGAACAAACCAGAAAGACGAAAAACCGCCAATGGATAACGCTGCGAATCGTGTTGAATGACCAGCAGTTCGCAGCACTGGATCTTAACGTCAATCCTTTCAATAATTCCTGGTCTGTTTTCTTGGCCATCAGCATTTGCCAACAACCCGCTTTGTTGAGAGAACCCTTTCAGCACGGCCTGCATAACGAGAAGATCGTACACAGACAGCTTCGTAAAAATGCGCTCGATCAAAATCTACAAATTTAGGGTGTAAAGTTAAAAAACTGAATAAGTCATAAGAATAAGAGAATAACCTCGCAATTGAAACGGACACCAGGCACGCTTACACCCAGTAAACCGACAGACTTGAAGCTGTGTTGCTCAACGAGTTTAAAGTTTGCGACAACTGCAAATTTATTAGACAGCTGACCACCGGTGAACCGACGACTGTCTAGTATGCCACCGTGGAATTGCACCGACGTTGCGTCTACACGAAAAGGCGATTCCGACGAATTCCGATAGGAAACCATGCCGGATATCTAAACATTAGTGAAAATATTACCAAGATCTATGATGGTAATAGGCAAATCAGTTATTTAACCTGTTTATTTCCTAATTTTTGTATATCAAGAGTACTTCAAGTAAACGGAGTTGTTATACTAGTGGACCATTTTAGATCATCTGAGTACAGTCAAAAGTCAAAGTGTATCAATTTCCTGCGACTGCTTCATTAAATTCAAGCGGCAGCTAATCGTGGGAAAATAGGTTATTTGATGATAAGTATAAATACAACAGGTAACAGGTAGAGCTCAGAAGGAGACCTATGAGTCTA